AACCTATAGGCATGCTTTCCACAATTTGTTCCAATTTTAGATCCTATAGATATGATTTCTATAATTTGTAAACAGAACAACATGTGAATGAGGTTTTTGCACACACATTGAATATACAATTCCCTATAGGCATGGTTTCTAACACGATTAAACCAAATATTGAACCTATAGGCAGGACTGCTAACATATAATGGTTGAACATAATAGGATACCTATAGGCATGATTTCTAACACACGATAACTGAACATGCAATAGCACATTGTTGATCCTATAGGCGGGATTTCTAGCACTCGATAACTGGGCATGCAATAGCACATTATTGAACCTATAGGTAGGATTTCTATCACATGATAACTGACCATGCAATAGCACATTATTGAACCTATAGGTAGGATTTCTAACACACGATAACTGAGCATGCAATAGCACATTATTGAACCTATAGGCAGGATTTGTAACACACGATAACTGAGTAGAATTTCTACCCTACAAAAATCCTTTTCCCAATTTCAGTAACACCCCAAAATGTTATTATAATAATTATTACAGACCCAGAATTGAATGTAATAAATTACAGAATAAGTATAACTATCGGGAGCCTACAGCAGGCCCAAAACTGCACCTGGCCAGGCCAGGCCTTCATTCTCATAGTTCACAACAGCACAAAAATCATATGTTCATGGACATAAGGCAGCCAGGACTTGAGGGATTCCCCTGTGGTCTTAAAAAAACAGAATCAAGCATATAGAACCAAAACCCCAGTGTGTCAGAGTTTCCAAGGGCTTCAAGAACCCAGGGCAGTGCTTACACTAGGGAAGTTAACAGAGATCATTCAGAGGAGAGATTAGAGACCAAGTCCTAGTGTGTCAGAGTTCACAAGGGCCTCAAATGGACCCCGAGCAGTGCTCACACTAGAGAGGTCAAAGGAAAGAACCTGAATAGCCCTGGCTTTCAGCTGGCTAAGAATAGGATTCAAAGAAACTTAAGCAAGACGTGAAAGAGAAAAGACCAAAGTTGAGGGACATGACTTGAGGGATTTAAACAAACACGACCAAATTGAACATATTAGGCAAACAGTTGACCAAATCACAGAATTTAAAAGCCAGCTTAATGTAAACTTAGGGAAACAGGTTCAACACTCAGCACAGAAATAGTTACATGCTAAAAAGAGGCTGATAAAAATATGTTTGCAAGATTGATTGGGGTTATTATCACTAGACAGGTTGAAACATGGGTGGGAATTATGCTAAGTATATAGGCAACGTTGTGCTAAACCACATAATCACAGAAAGGGGAGGGCACCATGTTAGCAATGGGGCAGGATCACAAACACATATGCCAAAACATGTGATTTTGGATACCATAAAAGGCACACAAATAGTAGATAAGCATTCAAGCATTGTTATAGAGGTCTAATTAACAGAATATGATTTAGCTTGTGCCAAAATCTTATCCTAACACCTTAAAGTAACAATTCAAAACATGCTGAGATCACAAACAAATACTAAAGGGATATGGGATTCAATAAGCATGCTGAGGGCCATAATGACCAACACTGAAATTCTCAACACAGACTACTACAAGGTTTCAAAAAGGGGGGGGGGGTGGTGGTGGTGAAGAAACATGTTCATAAGCATTCAAGAGTCAATATACTAACTGAATAGGCCCTAAAAAAGTTCAGATTACCCATTTAGGCACAAATAATCATAGAACAGTAGTATTAAGAGTGAGTAGATACAAGAGTTAGCAGAGTGATGCTTAAAAGTAAACCAGGAACATGTTACGCCAGAGATTCAGAGATAAGAATACATAAGGATGAAATTGCGAGAGTTAAGTAACTCACCAGTTAAATGAGAGATGCAAGAAAAGAACAAAAAACCACAGTGTTCTGAATCGACAATGAGAAGCAAAACCCAGAACTTAATGGCCTTGGCTTCAACCGGCCATGACCACAGTATAGGATGAGAAATACCAGAGTAAAGTTTAGATCTAGTGAGGTTATAATGACGTCCCAATCTCTCCTAAAAGGGAAATGGGGAGGGGTTTATATAGTATAGAAATTGAGCAAGTAAACATGGCAAACAAGTCGTTCAAACACAAATAAGGGAAAAAATTATTCAGGAATCAATTAGGATCGATTTTAGGGCACAAATCAAAGGGGTTCAGTAAATCAACAGAGAAAACACCAAATAGTACCAAAGTCGTTTTTAAGGCAAAGAAAAAAGCAGAAAAAAGGAAAACCTAAAGAAAAGAGTAGTCAAACACAGGAAAGGAAAATAATCAAAATCAGTAAGGAGGAGAGGAAATTCCATAACCCTAATTTTAGGCATAGTACACAAATTGACGGAAATAAAAAATAAAAATCACATGCTACATAGAATGAGATGAACATAGACAGAAATCTATTCAAAATCAAAAAATCGAGTAAGATATGGTTTGATTTTAAAAGGATCTAAAACACTAAATTAGGGTAAGTAGAAAATCTCAAAGATACACAGAGATTCATATCGATTCATACCATAAAAGAACGAGAATGAACACAGATGGAAAGGGTCAAAGAGCTGAACCAGATTTTGTTCGATTTCTAAGAGATTTGCTTGCCATGTTTAGGCAAGCAAACTAGGTAATGCCATAGACGAACCAGTAGTGAGGGGAGGTAAAATAAGGTAAGGGAATCCATGGTGGATTTCGATTTGGGGTTGGATTTGGGAGGGTTTGATAGGAACGACGGCTAGGGTTCATTAGATATGAGAGACGAGAGTGTTCTGGGGCAGCCAGAGGGGGGGCGGGGGGAGTAAAAGGATTAGGGTTAGGGGTTTGGTTGGGTTTAAAGAAGTAGATGTAACGTGGACCGTTGATCTTAGAGATCAACGATCCTTATTTAAGGGGTCTTGGGTCGGGTATTAAAATAGGTATGAGGACTGGGATGATAGGTTTTGGGCCAAGAGTGATTGGGTTATGTTTGGGTAGCTTAGGTCCGAAATTAATTATAGAATGAGGGCCAGATTTTAAATACCCAATTTTAATAAATAAATAATTTATAAAATAATAAATAAATAACAAAAATATCATTTGTGCATAAAAATAATTTAAAACAATTATGTAACACTTTAAAAATATAAAAGATTATTTTTTTTTCATAAATAATATAATCATAAGTACATATGGGCTATTATTGCAAAATGTGCAATTTAGCCTTAAAAACGCAAATATAATTATCAAAATGCACTGAAAAATATTTAAACATTATGTTGGTATAAATGATAAATTTAGATGATTAAATCATCATAAAAATAATATGACGGATAATTATTGGATATTATATAATAAAATACAGAAATAAATTGATTTAAAGCTTTTCAAAATTATGGACAATTGTGAAAAATACTTGTAAATCAAATGATGATGCATGTGCACTATTCTGAAAGTATATATATATATAAGGGGAAAAAATTGGGTATCAACATAGAGCACATGGGATCTCAATACTTGAAAGCTTCCTCAAGATGAATTAGATGATCTGCCCAGCTACATAAGAATATCATTAAAAAAAACCAAGACTGATTTTCTAAAGAAGTCATGAAATATTTGATTCATTAGGCTTTGGAATGTTGAAGGTGCATTGGTTAGGCCAAAGGGCATGATCATGAACTCATAGTGGCCATGGTGAGTTCTAAAAGCAGATTTTGGAATGTCAGGCTCATTCATCCTGATCTGGTGGTATCCAGATCTAAGGTCTAGCTTAGAGAAATACTTAGCTCCATGTAGTTCATCTAATAGTTCTTCAATGATAGGGATTGGGAACTTGTCCTTCACTGTGCAATCATTTAATTCCCTGTAGTCCACACACATCCTCCAAGTGCCATCTTTCTTTTTTACCATTACAATTGGTGCAGAATAAGGACTGGTGCTATGTTTGATTACACCAGAGGCTAACATCTCATCCACCATCTTCTATATTTCATTCTTCTGAATGGTTGGATACCTATAAGGCCTCTTGTTGACTGGAGAGGTACCTTCCTTCAGAATAATTTTATGATCATGCATCCTAGAAGGAGGAAGTTTGCTGGTCTCTTCAAATAGATCACCATATTTCTATAGTACTAGCTGCAATTCTACAGGTTCACTTTGAGTCTTCAGTTGGGATTCCAAAGAGAATAAGCTGACATCTCCTTCTACTGTTTCTTCTGTTAGAATGCCTAATGATATCATGCATAGCTCTGCAGGTTTAGCTAACAACTTATCCATCTTGCCAGATTGGATTAGTTTAGTAGCAGGAGGTTGGATACCCCTCAATGATATCTTTTGGCCTATGATAGTGAACTTCATGTTACACCCTCCAATGTGTAGCACTAACATATCTGAATCAAAGGAAACTCCCTGCATTTTCCATATCAATTTCTTGCACACATAGTGACTGTGTACCTTATTGCTATCAGCTACTGAAATTGCAAAGGGTGAGATGGCAGTCAATTCACATCCCAATCTCTTAGTAGTGTTGAGATCCAAGAAATTGTGGGTGCTACCAGTACCAATAAGTACATGTACTGCCTTTCCTTTAATAGATACTGTCACTCTCATGGTTCTAAAGTCATGAATACCATTCATAGCATGTACAGATACATGGGGTAGAATGGACCCTTCCAGATCAGTTTCTAAACCCTGTGCTATCATGGTTAATAATTCTGCAGGGTCTAACATCACTTCTTCCTCCAACTCTACCGGTTCAATACCCTCATCCACTTCCATGGAAAAGAATTGCCTTCTCTTCTTGCAGATGTGGCCTGGAGTGTACTTCTCGTCACAGTTAAAACATAATCCTTTAATTCTCCTTTCCTCCATTTCAGCATGAGTTAAAAGTTTGGCATTTTTGCAGGGTGGTTTATGATTAATAGGGTAAGGGTGTTGGTGTTTTGGAAAATTCTGGGCAGTGGTTTGTGTGAGAGACTGGTTTGTTCCAAGGTGAGAAGAAGGTGATTTCATAGGGAAGTTTCTAGGATTATTTCTGGGATTTGGCAAAATAGGTGTTGAGAGGAAAATTTGTTTTTGGACTTCTAAAGTTTGTTCTTGTATTCTTGCTAGGCTTATGGCTTTGGCTAAGGATCTTTGTCATCTTTCTTTTGCAGACATCGATAATAGCTCGGCCCGTGGCTAAAAATGGACGCCCTAAAATAAATGGGACCTCCTGATCAGGCTCGTAATCCAAGATAATGAAATCAGCAGGGAATATGATAGAACCCACTTGAACTAACACATCTTCAATCACTCCTTCAGGATGAGCAAGGGAGCGATCAACCAACTGTAAGATAACTGTTGTTCGGTGTGGCTCACCCAACCCCAACTGTCTGAACACAGATAGCGGCATCAAATTGATACTCACTCCAAGGTCACGTAAAGCTCGCCCAACTGCATGTTTGCCAATCGAGATTTGGATAGTGAAACTACCCGGATCCTTCAATTTCTGAGGTAACTTGCCTTGAATTCTTGAACTACACTCCTCAGTGAGTGCCACAGTTTCGAACTTGGTCAGCCTCCTTTTATTTGCCAGTATGTCCTTGATGTACTTTGCATATTTGGGCACTTCTTGTAAGATGTCAACCAATGGAATATTAATTTGCACCAGCTTCAAAATATCAAGAAACTTTTTATATGCGGCGTTATCCTTTACTTTATGCAACCTTTGAGGGAACAGAGGTGGTGGCCTTGCAACCACTGGTGGGGGTTGCTCAGCCACCGCCTCTCCAGCTGGCTTCTCGGACTCCTTAGATTTTTCTGATGTTGATTCTATAGTGGCTGGCCTCTCATTAAAAGTCACCTGTTTCCTCTTTTTTGATTGAACTTCTTCTAATTGTCTCCCATTCCTCAATGACACGACATTAAGGGATGCCTTAGGATTAGCTTCAGTGTCACTTGGAAGAGCTCCAACTGGTCTAATGTTTTGAGCACTGGCAAGCTGTCCCATTTGGCGCTCCAAATTTCTCATTGTTGCGGCTTGGGCTTGCTGCTTAGCCATAAATTTCTGAGCGAGGGCTTGCTGTTCAGCCATCACTTTTATCAACATGTCTTCAAGGTGACTTGTTGTTCAGCCTGAGGTGGTCTATATTGCTGTTGAGGTGCTTGAGTCCTGTATTGATTTTAAGTGCCTTGGTTTCCACCCCAAGAGAAGTTTGGGTGGTTCCTCCAGTTGGGATTGTAAGTGTTCCCATATTGTTTGTTTGGCCCCTATTTGCATTACCCACAAAGCAGACAGACTCTGGATTAGCGGGGCATAAGTCGCTCGTGTGACCCTTTCCACATATTTCACAAAACACTTGAACCTGTTGTACCGATTGTGCTTGTTGCTTGTTGATAATCAAGGTCATCTGATTGACTTGGTTGGTCAGTGTAGAAATCCGTGCTGATAATGCCATGACGACATCTAACTCAAGAACCCCTGCAGACTTTTGCACAATGTGTCTGCCCATCTCTCCTTGCCAATTCGGATTGCTTTTGGAGAATTTGTTCAATAATGCATATATCTCGTCAAAGCTTTTCTCCAACACTTGACCTCCAGCTGCAACATCTACCACAATCTTTGTTTCAGGATGTAGACCTTCTATGAAAGTGTGAGCTAATACTTCTCTTGTCTTATTGTGATGAGGACAGTCTCTGATTAGCCCCTTGAACCTCTCCCAAGCTGAGTATAAAGACTCTCCCGCTTTATGTTTGAAGGCAACTATCTCACTTCTGATCTTTGCAGTTTTTCCTGAAGGGAAGAACCTTGCCAGAAATTTTCTTGCCAAATCATTCCGTGAGGTAATCGAATTAGCTGGTTCTGCCTTCAGCCACCGCTTTGCTTCGCCCAACGGTGAGAATGGAAAAAGGGTGAGCCTTACATTTTCTGGAGTGACTCCGTCAGTGATATAAGTGTCACTAATCTCCAAGAAGTTTAGGATATGCTGTTGTGGATCCTCGTGTGGAAGACCCATAAACTGCCCATTCGCATGAAGTAGCTGGATCATGCTTTGTTTCAGCTCAAAGTGCCCAGTGATTCTGGGCTTCACAATGCTATAGGTGACATTGGTAATGCTGGGCATCGCCACCTCCTGAACAACCATTTGTTGCTCCTCTGCCATGTTCCCAGGAAATTGAACGAGTGCCTGAATATTATTCGTATCCCTTTCCCTCAACCTCCTGTGAAATGTTCTCTCAGGTTCAGGGTCAAAGCCTTGAAGTCGGTCCTGGCTTCTAACCCTACGCATTCAATCAAAGTTCCTGATATCCGAGCAACAATCAAGTAATGTTAGACCCGACGAAATAAACAATTAAAGCAAAAACTAGAAAGTAGTTAATATTCCCCGGCAATGGCACCAAAAACTTGTTGCTCCCAAACGCACACGCAAGTATACGTGGTCGTACAAGTAATAAAATGATAAGTCAAGTGTCGAACCCACAGAGACTTGTATCAACTACCCACTAAAATCACCAAGATTGTTATTCGGTCAAGCCAAAATCAAGTTCAAGAATGTGATTATAAATTCTAATTTGTAACTAAATTATCAAGCAATAAAATGATTGTTATGTATTCAATAGAGACAAATATTCCAGGGTTGTGATCGATTCATCAATCCTATTGTTTTCTAGTTAACTCTCCCTCTCATACAATTCATTCATGGTTGCTAATTAATCGATAATTGCTCTCATAGACTTCTCCCGAAGTACTACTCGCCTACTCAAAATAGATTAATGCCTATATTCCTATGAAATCAATCTATTAAGAATGCATTAAGATTACGATATTTAATTAAGCACGATGACTAGGTATATTCCTATCCTAGCCACAAATCCGCCCCCCTAAGGGTTAAGATCATGCTCTCTTCAATTCTTCTCTAATCTAAATACGGCTTTCCCAAGCATAGCATAGATAGTAAATAGAACCTAACTGTTGGCCAGACAATTAAGCAATTAATCACGGAACTGAAGAAACAACCATATATTAGTGAATTATAATCAAGTTTAAGTCAACGTTAAACAACAATATTTATGGCTAAATCACAACCCCAGAACAATGGGTTTTAGCCACTCATGATATTAGCAAACAATTTCATAAGTTTGGATAATTGAAAATACTAAGAAAAGATGAAGAAATCTGAGATGTTCTTGCTCCCCGATGGTTCTTGTGTGTATCCTCTCCCAAAAGTGGCGTCTCCCCCTCACAAATAAGTTTTGTCTTGCTTTTATACGTGTTGGGTAGGTTTAGGGCCGAAATAACCGTGTCCCGGGCGAAATTGGAGAAAATTTACGTCATTGGCGCCTGGCGCTCTTGAACATTCTGTTTCTGGTGCCTGTGGCGCTACAATGCCCATTTTTTCTGTTTTCGTCCGTTTTGACTCTAATTTCGCACATATCGCCTCCGATTGCTCCTGGATCATTCCTACACATAAAAACACATCAAATTAATATAAATCAATACATTTCACATCCTAAATCCACGAAACAAAAGTAAGATATGAGGCGATATACATACAATATATATACTTTAAGCAAAACATCAAAAAACAATCTTATTTGTTCCAGAATACGATAGATTATAATAATGTGCTTAATGAGGAAAAATTAAAATCAAAACCAAGACGGATCAATTTCCAATATTTCAAAGATATACATGGTACTATTTACTGTTTGATTGCATTCATTCGTTTTAGTTTTTTTGAAACCATGTTGTTGTTACCACCTATTGTCACTATGTTGTTGTTACCACCTATTGTCACTAATTCTTTTTATCTTGTCTTTAGCCGGGAGTTTATTGGAAATAACTGTTGGGATAAGATCTGCGTACACATTACCCTCTCCAGACCCTACTTGTGGGAACTCACTGAGTTTGTTGTTGTTGGTAATAGTAATACTGATGATGTGTTTCCTCTTTCTTCATTGCTTTGTGGACCACAACTTTGAAGTGGTTACATTTGTCATCTGATGATACTTAAGATGATAATGAAATTGTGATCATGACATTGACATGTTTGTTTTGAAGCTGAAATATCTCGACTCTGACAAACATTTCAATTCTTAGCCACAATATCTGTTAATTACTTGTCATAAATGTTAACTTTTACTACAAGTTATTCAATACCTTTTGAAGGAAATTTAACTTTGAAATCTCACATTTAGACAAAAGCTAACAAGTACAGATAGTTCCAAAGGAATAAGAAAAATGGAGATGATGTACACAGATAAGTATGACAGAAAAGCTGAACTACAAGCCTTTGATGAGACGAAAGCCGGTGTTAAGGGACTAGTGGATGCAGGTATCACCAAAGTACCAACCATTTTTATTCAACCACCACAGAGTGAAGAGGCAGAAATTCCCAGCAACAAGGAATTTACTTTTCCAATTATCGATCTTGATCGCGTCAAGGAAGATCAGATCACGCGAAAGAAGATAGTCCAGCAAGTTGTTCGTGCATCGGACACTTGGGGTTTCTTTCAAGTGATCAATCATGGGATTCCTAGTCATGTTATGGAGGAAATGAAAGATGGGGTTATCAGGTTCTTTGAACAAGATACTGAGGTGAAGAAGCAATGGTATTCGCGAGACTTCACAAAACAGTTTATATTCCATACTAATTTTGATCTGTTTAAATCACCAGTAACCAACTGGAGGGACACTTTTAATGCCACAGTAGCTCCTATACCTCCCAATCCTGAAGAATTTCCCTCTGTCTGCAGGTATTACTTGATCAATATCGACACAAGATGTTCTCAAATTTTTAATGTTTTATGTCATTATTTGCTTATTGTGTATCTGTGATAGGGATATTCTCTTTGAGTACACAAACCAAGTGATGAAACTAGCATACACTATATTTGAACTATTGTCTGAGGCTCTTGGCTTCAAACGAAATCACCTCAACGATATGGGCTGTAGCGAGGGGCTTATGGCTTTAGGCAATTATTATCCAGCATGCCCACAACCAGAACTTACTCTAGGCGCTGGGAAGCATGCTGACAGTAACTTCCTCACCGTGCTTCTCCAAGACAATATTGGCGGCCTCCAAGTTCTACATCAAAACCATTGGGTAGATGTTCCCCCTACTCCCGGAGCTCTCGTGGTCAATATTGGAGATCTCTTCAGGCAAGTGTTACATTTCTTTAATCCCTCCCGGAGCTTAGTTATGTTACTCCTAATACAGGAATAACTTACCCTGTAACCAGCTACGAAACGACCCCTAAAGAGCTTGCTAAGATTTTTGCGTAGCTGTAACAGATACATACTTGTCTTATCAGCATGTAATATAAGTTTTAGATAATTATAAACAAAAACAGAAAGTTGATCCTTGATTTTTGGCTGTGTCATTTTCAGCTTATATCAAATGACAAGTTCAAAAGTGTTGAACATAGAGTAGTGGCAAATAAGGTTGGTCCAAGGATATCAATGGCATGCTTTTGCACGACAAGTTTTCTTCCAACAGAAAGGTTATATGGACCTATCCAGGAGTTGATATCAGAACATAATCCTCGAAAGTACAAGGAAACCACAATTAAGGAGTACACTACTTATTACAGTAACAAAGGGCTGGATGACACTTCTGCTCTGTTGCATTTTAGACTTTAGATTAAATAGTTGAGCAATTATTGGCCTCAATCTAAGGGGTGTGTTAAGAGTAATTCTGAAGATGATAGATATTGTCGGCAATAAGGTTTGTAGAACCATGTATGAATATAACAACATCATGTCTTTGTTATTTTTCCGTTTGTTTTCGTTTGATTGGCAGTTAAGAAGCATTCAGTGATGTTATATCCATGTTATCCTTTATAAATTCATTCGGTATTGCAGAGATGACTGTCCATATACCTTCAGCTATGGATGGTTTGTTATTGGAAATGAAAAAGAATGCAATTACAACTCAAACTCCAATTGCTAAATTTGGTTAATCTTGAAATATCACCTTAATATATAAAAGCTAAAACGTTTCTCAGAATAGACGATATAAACCATGTCAGTCCATCCAATCAACATCTTAGTCATATCAAGTCATCTAAAACAACAATCCCCTCCTTATGTGCATGAGAATATTTGAAACATACCAGCATTAGAATCAAATACGAATATTTCTATGTACAAGGGAAATCAATTTATCTCATAAGCTCTTTCTGCAATGACACCCAGCGCTAGGTTAACGATTTTCCTTTTTTAATTTTTTTAGCTTTCTTCTGGAAAAATATAGGTACAACCTGCAGCAGACCTTGAACCTTCGACAGCTTGCCGAAAAATTATTAACTAAACCAACCAAGCCATGATCCATTATGTGCGTATCAAAACAATAACAATAACAATAACAAACCCAACGAAATCCCACATGTGGGGTCAGGGGAGAAGAGAGGCTGACCTTACTCCTACCTTATGAAGGAAGAGAGGTTGTTTCGATAGATCCTCGGCTCAAGAACAATGTTAGTCTACCAACACCTTACCTAAAAAGGAGTAACTGAACAAACTGATTAAAACAGACTTATGGAATCAAATGGATGATGAGCAATTGAGTGACTGTTTGGTGTCTTATATAGAAAATAAATATTTAGTAATATTTCTACTGAGTCTATTGTGGATACATTTCAAAAAATGAAAGCTCGTCACGGAGATTTGTAGTAGCATATATTTGAATTGTATTTTTCTAAAATATGATCTTCTTAAAGTGATCAATTCATTTGTACTCCTCTTTAAATTTTGACACTGCTTACGGAAAATCCTGCGGAAGTCCCAGCGTGGAAGGATGTCGTGGAGTACATCATCCGATAAAATGCTTATTATATCCATTCCGGGTTTTGAAATTGATGTTTCCACTTTGAAATCGAACGAAAAAGCAGAAAATACCAAAGAAATATCGTTACTGTGTAAACTACTCATAATGATCACAGAACTCGAGCAACTCACTCACTGGGACAATTTGTCGAGCACTTTGTGTGCAATTGGGAGTACAAATAATAACACGACCGAATAACGCAGAGATATGTTATTGGATTACAGGAAGAGTGTTGTGTGTTATGTTCAATAGTAGTTAATACAGTCATTTGAGAGCTAGCAGCTAACAAAATAGGTAGAAGAATACTACGTCGTTTAGAAGATAAAAGGAGCTGAAATAATTAAGGACTATAATACGGTGACGTTTGAAGAAGGAATAAGGGATCAACTGCCTAAAACGCCTTTTAAACACTGGTCGGATTATCTGATTGCGATTTATAAGTATTTTCTGGCTGCAATTTATAAGTCGCGTTTTCTGATTGCAATTTATAAGTCGCACTCCATCTCGGTTCTATTGCGATTATAAGTCGCATTCTATCTCATTTTGTTGCGATTTATAGTCGCATTGTTCTATTGCGATTATAAGTCAGCATTCTTAAATCCGATTCATAATCAGTATTTATCAATGCGATTCATGAGTAGTATTTACAAATGCAATTTATGGTTACCTAATTTCAGATACACCCCTTGTATTTTTAAATCAAATACTTATAATCATCCTATGAAATCTTACACCTACAAATCCGATGAGTTACGCCTTGTCTATTGCCAAATGTATTAAATTATTATTATTGAGAGATAAACTAAAATTTATAGTTCTAATTTGTGTATATTTCAACGTCAAATTACAAATGCGATTTATAAGTCGCATTTCAACCAAGGACATATATACTTTCAGATATACCCCTTGTATTTTAAAATTAAATACTTATACTCCTCATACTATGAAATCCTACACATATACTCCCTATATCTATAACTAAATATATTAGAATATAATATTATGAGATAAACTAAAACTATAAACAGAGTTTTCCTCATTGTCATTTTAGCTTGTTTATTTAGTTATTTATTCTTTAGGTTCAAAATTACATTAAATTTACTTTCATTTGTTCTATTATATAAGAGGTTTAACTATTTTTGGAAAAATAGGGATAACAATATTATATTTGCGAGTGGCCAACATTACCTTCTTCAGAATCCTTCTACAAATGGCCAACATTTTAGCAACTCTAAACACAACAGTCATTTAACTCAAATGTCAATTTCCTCATAAATAATATTTTTTCTTAATACAAGGGAACCAATTAAGTTATTTTCTGGAAATTTTCGTTTTGCCAACTTTGAATAATTTTCACCCTTAAGAAAATGAAAAAATAATAAAGAATATCTTTCACCTAAATTAAATATAGTCAAACTCTTACAAAACTTAGCTCAAAGTAACAATATAGAACAATAAAATAGACAACAATGTAGAGAGAAAGAGAGGAGAGAATCTTATTTCTTCTATGTATTCAAGTGTGTACAATGTGATGCCCAAACCCTCTATTTATAGGATGATATAGGTAATACAAAGGGACTCCATAAACATGGTATTAACTATTGAGAACATGGGGGAAGATCATGGAGGTGTGGGAATTACATCCATAATGGTAAGAAGTAGTGGGAGGTTAATGGAGAAGAGTAGTGGGTGTTACTCCCTTAGGAGTTATGGACATCCACCATAATCAAGTATTTCATAACACTCCCCCTTGGATGTCCAAAGATAATGTGCCTCGTTAAAACCTTACTAGGAAAAAACCCTATGAAAAAAAAATCCTAGTGAAGGAAAAAGAGTACACATATCTGTAATACGCTTTATTTGCTGCCTCGTTAAAAACCTTGCCAGGAAAACCCAGTGGGATAAAACCTTAGCTAAGGGAAAAAGAGTACAGCACATATTTGCCTCCCCCTGATTAAAATATCACGACGAATTCCAAGCTTGTCTAACAACTTCTCTAATATTGAGATCGGCAATGCCTTGGTGAATTATTCCGCCAAATTATCACTTGAACGAATTTCTTGAACATCTATTTCATCATTCTGTTGAAGATCGTGTCTGACAAAGAACTTTGATGAAATATATGATTTATTCAGTCTCCTTCAATATTCTTCTTTCAATTGATATAAGCAAACATCAGCTTCTTCATTATTATTGGAATCTTCTCTTCAAAGAAAAGTCACACATCTTGTGAAATGATAATATGACAATTCCTCACATACAAATAGATTGTTTGAAGAACGGACTTCAATAAATGCCTGCATTTGCATAAACAACAAAACCTTGACAATATTTGTTAGAATAAACAAATCTATATCAAGGATTCTTTTTGCAATATAATACTAATCATATTTCAATATCTCCATATAGCCTTTATACTCTCAGCTGTTGGGACTATTCGTCCAAACTTCATATTTTTCAGATGAAGTCAATTTTCATTGCATATTTTTCATTTGGCCAATCATTTA